TTCAGGTTCCATTTCATGGCCTTTGTGCGGCATTGCAAAATCCAGATATTGGGAGAGTTCAGTGAGATTCTTAGTTGCCCAAGGTTGATGAAACTGACGCGACAAGCCAAGAAGTCTTGCTTAATAATCTGGGTATAATGAGGGTGGGGAGGGAGGGAAGGAGGGAGACCACTATCCCCAATCCACTCTGTTCCCTGTTTCATGCTTTCAGATGCAAACTTGTGCACATCTTGATCAGATTTTTTTTGTTCATTAGCATGAAATTTGATTAGTTCTACATTTTAGTGGAAAAAAGAATCTAACCGGAAGAAGAAACATGGGAGATTGTGGTATATCAGGGAAATGGCAGACTCAGCCACGCATGGATCTGCATCTCCTTTTGCCTCTTAGCCAGCAATCAGTGGAGGGAGCCCTCTGCCTTAGTGGTGGAAAGATCCCCTCTCCCCCAAAACAGAGTTTCTTTCCAAACTGCAGATGTAGAACTCAAAATATTGCTCAGATTTCAAATCCTGCCACGGGGACTCTGCTCTTCCTCTGGGCAGCCGTCTAACCTGCATCTCCCCTGCTAAATCGCTTTCTGGCAAACGGTTCCTTGGTGCTAGACTTGCACCCCTTGTAAAAAAAGGCTTAATTTTTGTCATGGGGCAAACTCAGTGCCTTCCCTAAAAAGAGCAGAGAGTGATGGAAGAGCAGCAGAATGAGGTTAAATTGTTGAGGTTGGTTGCAAGGAGGCAGAATTCTTAAGAGATTCTGTTTCACTCCCCACCGTCTTATAACCTGCCCATACCTGTTCAGGAACTTCCTGCTCCCCGCCCACACCTTAGCACCCATCCTGAGCAAATTGCGGCCACTGAGTGGTAGTTGTGGAGGGTACCCAGAGAAGGTCTTGGCACAGCAGCTCCAGCACAGCCAAGGCATTGACATGTTCCTGCTCTGGCACTGGACGACTTAAACAATCATTTACCTGCCGGCCTATTTTATCTTGCGTCTGGGTGATTCACAGTTAAATGAGGGATGTAGACCAGGTTCCCTGCAGCTGGATCAGTCTGTCTCATAGAAGGTCACATTCCTACAGATTCCATTCTCCTGCTACCATCAATTATTTTAACCTTTTATTAATTTATTAATCTGTTTGGATTTGGTATCGACCAAAAGGTGCCAATTTCATACATTCCAGAAAGAAAGCTTCCTTTTGGTTTCTCCGGCATCTTTCAGTTATCAATTTCTTTGGAGCCTCCTTGATGCAATGCTGCCCCAACAAGCCAGGGAAAAATGGCAACTTTCCTTCCTTGCCCCACTGAAAAGGGCAGCAGCCTCTATTTCAGGGACTTCAGCCAGGATGGGATTGTCAGAGAAGGCTACCTGGATTGGTTGTGACCACCTAGAACGCTGGACGTTTCCTAGAAAGTTTGAGATTGAGGGTCAGGGTTGCCAAGGGGATGGGAACCGCTTGGACGAAAAGGTGGTGTCTGTTTGCATCCCTTCTGTGAATGAGGAGTTAGCTAGCTTCTTTGCAATGCATTTGAATGTGGCAACTCAGACAATCCCTGATCTTGTTATGCCACAGGGGTAGGCTTCGCTTTGTTGGGTGCATGAAATGTTATTCTAGTTACAGATAAAATACAGTATTGCAGAGGGAAGAAAAGAGTAAGCACTGAGAAGTGATGACACAAAATGTAAACAACAGAGTTTATGAATTAAATGCATGCAAAAATAATTGCAGCATAAAAGCTGCATTTTACCGAAATCCAGCCTTGCTGTTCTGATCTCTGGCATGTGTTGCTTGTGGTGGGCCAGATAGGATGCTCTCCAATGAGCCCATCCCCTGTTAACTCCTCCCCTTCTCCCTCCCTCCTTCCCAGGAAATCCATTTAAATGCAATTCCATTCTTCAGCCCCCGCCTTCATGCATGTCTAATGAGTGTCAGAGAAAATGCTATTACAATGCAGCCAAGTAGGATCCAATCTTGTAGAGTGTCTACAAGTCATTTGGAGAAAACCCTGGGAGCGCTCCCAGTTTTATGACGATGTAATTAGAAATAAAATCTCATTGCCATAGTTGAATGAGGGATGGGTGTTAATCCTTTAACCGGGAAAGATAGAGCTGTACTTAGAGAAGAGATTAAGGGCAGGAGTCTGCCAGCTTAGGCAGGCCTGGCGGTTGAGGAACAGTGAAACCCCCAGGCCTGGTGGGGAAAAGGCTTTTATGAATGGGAACCTCCTTTCTTCGTATTTGTCATTCAGGATTTGGTGGTGGTTGGACTGAATGGGTAAAACTCTCACTGTGGCTTGGTTAAGTTGAAATAGTTCAGCTGGTTGAAACCAGCTCTCGACTTGGTGAGCTGTTAACCAGGCCATCAGCCATGAAAGCAAGGCAAGATGCGTTTGGGTGCAGTTTTGAAAACGGTTCTCGTCAAGAGAGTCATTTCTTAAGCCTATACGAAATGACTGGTAGTCCAGCAGTAGTCCTGGCCTCTCTCATTCAGCTGGGGAGAAGGCCCGTCCCTGGAGATGCCACAGGACGTGCCCTCTTGCTAAGGGGGAGAGGCAGTGGACCAGGGGTGGGTTTCTCGCCCCGTTCCAACCGATTCGGTTGGAACGGGGCGAGAAACCCACCCCTGGTCCACTGCCTCTCCCCCTTAGCAAGAG